AGTTTCAGAAATCCCGCCGTGGCACCATGAACTGAAAAAAAATCTGCGTATCTTACACAGTCATTACAGAACTTTAATCTTCGTTATAGAAATAGTTCTTTTTCTAATTTTACCTAATTCATTTTATTGCCAAAAACACACAGTATGCAATTTGGTGGTCGTGTGCCACTGAACATTAAAAGGTATCAGTCTCAGTCAAGCAATATGACTATGACCAGAACTCAGCTGTGTGTGTCTGCGTGTGTGTGTTTGTGTTTTGAATGTGAGGATGGCTGCACTCAATAAGCTGTAGTGTAGTACTTTGTTAAATGAATGTCATCACTGTGGTGCTGTCAGAGAGTGTGTGAGCTGTCATACTGACCTCTTCTCCTTCAGAGTTGCTTCACAGCCACACGTAAAGCAAGCAGAATGTTGAGATTACTTTAACTCTTCGTCATATTTTTCTTGTGCTCTAGACTTGGCTAATGTATTGTCAGTTCTTTGTTCGTGTTCAACAAATTCTGTTATATAAAAAGCCATATAAACAATAAGAGGCACAATAAACGATTTTTTTTTTTTGAGAATCTCTCTCTCTCTGTTATGCACTTTTTGTTTAGTATATGCTTTAGTAATTGTTCATCCAAATGTCATAATTTACTTACTTTTGTGTTAGACACATGGGCTTTCACTGCCATTGACGTGTGAATCTCACCAGGTCCAGGTCACAATTGTCCCCAAAAGCTAAATAATTCTAAGAATTTAAAATAATAAAATATTTTTTGTACAGTATTACATGTAATACAAAGTTTTTTAATTACAGTTGGCATACATTGAAGACATTACAAAATATCACCATTAAGTATAAATACGTTACAATTTAGTTCTGTTCATGTGTCCATCCAATCGCTGAAACTACTTTCATAACTTTTAAGATGTATATTCAAGAGTGTGTAAATAGTATGAAAACAGGAAATAGATTTAAAAGCTGCAGCCGAGGATTTTGCCGTGAATTACTCAAATTTCGGTCTGTGCTTGACACAATAGTACAATTTAGCTTTAGAAGACTTGATATATAGTGTGTGTGTGTGTATATATATATATATAT